CAGGCAGACAGACAGACAGATAGAAAGACAGAAAGACAGGCAGACAGACAGACAGATGGACAGACAGACAATTTCCTGTTCTTGTTCTTATGGTGGCAATTACCTGATGACTATTTTAATTTAGAGGGGAAAAAAAATAAAATTAACTTTAATTATTTTTTCCTATAGAAAAGTGTTGAAGAAAAAATGGAACAGAAATATGAATCATTATATTTTAGAGGTCAAACCTAATTTATTGATTAAAGCTTTGTTGGCTTAAAAATGTTAACTGAATAACATTTTTAAAGCTTTCAAATTTATTTAAATTTTCCAACCATCCATCCATCCATCCATCCATTCTCTTCCTCTTATCTGGGGTCGGGTCGTGGGGGTAGCAGCTTAAGTAGGGAGGCCCAGACTTCCCTCCCCCCAGCCACTTGGTCCAGCTCCTCCAGGGGAATCCCGAGGCGTTCCCAGTCCAGCTGAGAAACGTAGTCCCTCCAGCGTGTCCTGGGTCTTCCTCTGGGTCTCCTCCTGGTGGGACATGTCTGGAACACCTCACCTGGGAGGCGTCCTAACCAGATGCCCAAGCCACCTCAACTGGCTCCTCTTCATGTGGAGAACCCTCAGCTCTACTCCGAGTCCCTCCTGGATGACCGAGCTTCTCACCCTATCTCTAAGGGAGAGCCTAGACACCCTGCGAAGAAAACTCATTTTGGGCGCTTGTATCCGAGATCTCCTTCTTTCAGTCACAACCCAAAGCTCATGACCATAGATGAGGTCGTGGAACACTGGACCAGCTCTACACTCTCAGCAGGGTCCTGCAGGGTGCGTGGGAGTTTGCCCAACCAACCTACATGTGCTTTGTGGACTTGGAGAAGGTGTTCGACCACGTCCCTTGGGGAACCCTGTGAGAGGTACTCCGGCAGTATGGGGTACCAGGCCCTTTGATACGGGCTGTTAGGTCCCTGTATGACCGGTGCCAGAGCTTGGTCCACATTGCCGGCAGTAAGCTGGGCTTGTTCCCAGTGAGAGTAGGACTCCTCCAAGGTTGCCCTTTGTCACCGATTCTGTTCATAACTTTTATGGACAGAATTTCTAGGCGCAGCCAAGGTGTTGAGGGGATCTGTTTTGGTGGCCTTAGGATTGCGTCTGTTTTTTGCAGATGATGTGGTCCTATTGGCTTCATCAGGTCGTGATCTACAGCTTTCGCTGGAGCAGTTCACAGCCAAGTGTGAGCAATGGTCTTGAGCTGGAAAAGGGTAGAGTGCCCTCTCAGGGTTGGGGAGGAGGTCCTGCCCCAAGTGGAGGAGTTCAAGTATCTTGGGTTCTTGTTCACGAATGAGGGAAAATAGAGCGAGATCGATAGGCAGATAGGTGCATTGTCAGCAGTAAAGCGGGCGCTGTACCGGTCTGTCGTGGTGAAGAGAGAGCCAAGTCAAAAGGCGAAGCTCTCAATTTACCAGTCGATCTACGTTCCTACCCTCCGATGTCCACGCAATATTGCAGTTGCGTAAGCCAACACACCCCCACAACATCCAGAGCCTTAAGGAACTTTGTAATTTTCTATGTTCATATTTATACACAAACCTTTCTACCTTTTCTCGTTAGTCCGGTTGGTTAGCAATCACCTGTTTGTTGGTCTGGATCCTGAAGTCCCACAGTATCTGAGCCCTTCCACTGTTCACCACCCGTTGTGGCATCTCCCGCTTTGACTGTGGGACCTCCAGTCCATACTCGTCACAGATGTTCCTGTAGATTATTCCAGCCACTTGGTCATGTTGTTCCATGTATGCTTTCCTGTCTGGATCTTACACCGTGCTACGATGTGTTGGACTGTCTCAGGGCCATCTTTGAACAGTCTTCATCTTGAGTCTTGTCTGGTATGGCCTCTACTGCTCTTGTGCTGAGGTTCTGTTCTTGTACTTCTATGCAGTCTTCAGTCCAGCCGTCTCTAGCCAAGAGATGGCATCCAGCCAAAGTGGTCCAGAAATAGTTTGGACAGAACAATGTCAGTACTTTGAAGAGTCCCAGCCAGAGGGACTGAAGCGCTGCACATCATGGAGGCCGTTTCCAGTGACAGTTCATGTAAAAACAGGCACATTATGCGCCCGTCAACAAACTACTGGACAATGATAGCCTGGACAAAACCTTGTATAATATTTGACCTTGATTTTGACAAGCGTCGTTTAATAAAAAATACACAGCATAAATTATGGAGCTTTAAGTTTTAGTAGAATTTATTTTTTTTTAAAAACTGTAACCAAAGCATGTCATACGTTGCTCTTTGAGGTGTAATTACAAAACAGACATATATACAGACAGCAAGAACTCAGAAATGGAGAAAGCACGAAACAATCAGTTAGCATATCGATAATATATTTATGTACATCGTAACTGGCCAGGCTAGAGCAAGAAAGAAAGTTCTGCAAAAGATTTAAATAACTTCAAGTATCTTTTTTTGAGGTTTTGTGGCGGAGTTTTTGTCAGTCTGACAAGATTTTAAGCGACACTGAAGCTGCAGAACGAAGAGGGAGCTCTAGCCACGGACGACACAAGAAGGCTTTTCCTCTCCAATAAATGCCCACGTTTTGGGTAAGCTTTAACAAAGTGTCCACATTTAAAGTGATAACCAGCTTATTGGCCTGTAGCACCTTCTTACTGCTTTAACAACTGCACAAACAAAAGAACTGCAGACATCTTGAAAAGCAGACGCGATACAACCGGTTCCACAACAGAACTTGTGGTTCTGGAGTCCGATGTAACTGAAAACCAGGTAAGTTCAGACTCATTATGTTGTCGGTCTGTAATGAACATCACAGCTCCAAACTGATCTCTATATTATTGAAATGTGTCTCAGCAACTTCAAACCATCTGTGTTAAGATGGTAAGAATTGCTCAGTCAGTCTTCTGAAGGGTTAGGGTTGGTATGAAGAGAAGAACTAGCTTATCTGAGGGATTAGTCACTTGTAGTTTGGCCTACTCTAATCATAAAGCTCCTATGAAGGAAAGTGTGGCCCAAACAGAGGCCGTTAAATCCTTTTTACGTCTCCTAGTGCAACAAACACAAACGTTACTTCACAATGCTCCTATAACACTGTCGGTCAGCTGCCCCGTTACATCAGAATAGTGTATCTATGTTGGAAGGGAAAAGACTTTCATATACAAGAACCGAGGCAGGATGTCGTCAATGCTGTGGTGGAGTTCCACAGGGCGTCCCTTCAACAGTGGTCAGAACCAGGACCACAGAGGAGTTTAAAGACCCTAAATCAGAGCAGCGGGAATAATCAACTGAAATCTCTCTTCCTGAAAGGCTTTAAACAAAATGCCCACAGATGAAGAGGGACTCTGGGGTTAGTGCATGTACCGTCAGAGACGCTGCCCTGAATTAGACATCCAGACATCCAGACATCCAGACACTCCCCGGTTTCTCTCAGCAGACAGTAAGAGGCTGAGGCTGGCTGTCCCGGCGCTGGTTCTTCTTCAGCAGCTGAATGCGGTTGTGGCAGTAGAACTTGACGGCCCTCCAGTCACGGTGGTTGTTGACCAGCAGAGGGCACTGCTGCAGGCAGCGCTCACAGTCCGCCTTGGCGGGAACCCGCAGCTCGTTAATGTTCTGAGTCAGGTGCTCCTCTACCGCTGCACGCTCCGCCTCCGACCAGGGACGCTTTAGGACACCTCGCTTTCCTGTACAGCACAGAGAAAATCAAAGCGTGCATCTAATTAACTCCTTTAATTGCTACTCCCACCCTGTAATAGCAGAACACAAAGAATCAAGATGATGTGAGAAATGTTAAAACATTTCTTCTTTTTCTGCATTTGACTCCAAACTTGACAGCTAAAACTACAAGCTCAAATGTTGAAAACTGTTTTATCACAAGTGCTCTTATCTATAAATGAGGTTATTGTTGCCACACAAAGGATTTTGGGCCGACCTGATCCTCTCCTTCGGTTTGCAGGCATCAGTGGTGGAGGGGGAGGAGAAGGGGGAGGTGGAGACTGGACCGTCTTGATCTTCTTAGGCCGCCCCACTCGCCCGTTGTTCTTGCCTTTCCTGACATACAGCAGCGTAGGCGGAGCGCTCAGAGTGGGCGTTGAAGCGGGCGCCATGGACTCCTCCTTCACGTGCTCCCTGTCAGACTCTCCCTCCGAGTACGAGTCGGCAGAGTTTCCTGACATAACTGGAGAAAGGAAGAGGAGAAAGGTTTAAGGAAAAGTGCTGAAGATGCAGAAACAAGACATCATTCCTGCTCACCGTCCAGCTCCAGACAGATGTGGTTCAGGCTCATCCCTCTGAACAGAACTCCGTCTCTCTCTCCACACAGGACGACTCGGCCGACACGACCCATCAGGCCTGGGTCTTGACCTATCGTGGCACAGTCCTGAGTCACATGGTACTCCCTCTCCAGGAAGTGCTCCAGCCTCTCCACAGCGCTTCCTCCCAGCTGTCCAGGCTCCTCTCCTTCTCCCAGGAGCAGGAGCTGTGTCAGGATCGCCACCTGACGGCGAACCCTGGTCTGCGTCAGGGCGCGGGGGTTTCGAGTACCGCTGGAACGGGCGAGGCTGCGGAGGAGGTCGGTGCCACGCAGAGGAGTGGCAGGAGAGTGGTAGGGCCGGGCAAAAATGTACGGGTTGGCTGGGTCAACCCCTACGTCCTCTCTTGTCTGCAGAAGGAGCTCCAGACAGGGCTCGCAGTGAGGAGGAAGGATGAGGGGCTGGATGCGGCCACGTTTCCCCTGCACACCGACTCTGGGGAGGTGAGGAAGCACCATTCGCTCAAAGGGGGAGAGGGAGGCCTCCAGTGGTGTGAGAGCAGTAGGAGCACCGGGCGAGACAGGAACTGGGCACTGAGGGGTCACACGAGAGCGGTATTCAGCTATGGACAGCTTGGAGACCTCACACTCACGCCTGCGGTTGTACAGGATGAGGAGCGCCAAGCTGGAGTGGCAGAGGAGGCGCCAGGCCTCCGCAGACTGCAGCTGCCGAGACAGAGACAGGAAGGCCGAGTGCTGGAGCCGACGGAGGTACAGGACCAGAGAGGACAGGGAGGACAGAAGAGGCAGCATGTGGTGACGCCCAGAACTAGAGGAGGAAAGAGGGAAAGAGAAACGGAGTAAAACATTTATCATTCTCAATGATCCAAGTTTCGTTTTCCAACATGTAGCTCACTGTGCAATTTTTGATCCATTTCAACAATTCATGTATCAAAACGTTCGGCTCCTTCAGGACAATTCTGCTGTGATGTTTGGTATTTGTGCAATTTTTATTTTTTGAAATATTTAGCTTTGTCAGCCATGTTTTACTCATTGAAAATTAATGGAGTTGTCTTCACGTCCTTCAAACCCTTTTGAGCCGTTTACAACCTGTTACTGATCATTTCAGCTTCCTTCAGCTCATTTTAGCTTCCTTCAGCTCATTTTAGCTTCCTACTCCTTTCAGCTTCTTTCTGCTTTTTTAGTGTAGGCATTTTCCTGCTAATAAACATTTTTTCATTCTTTCTAATGATTTCAACTGTTAAAGCTAACTTAAGCCTGTTTCTGATCATTTCAGGTATTTGTTCTTTTTCACCTACTATTTTTCTCCCAATTTCTGCTTTTTTCTGCTTAAATCAATTTTCTTTTTTGATAACTTCAGATTACTGTGCTCCTTTCTGATACATTTCAGCTCTATTCAGATTTTCCTACACATTTCTACAGTTGTTCTGCGGCTTTCAGCTCTTATTTTCCCACTTTCTTCAAATGTCAGCTGTTAAAATTCAACTTGCATTAACATTTTACTATGAAAGCTTTTAATCCTGGTTTTAGCTCCTTGATCAGCTTTCAGTAATTTCAGCAATAACCATTCACACTGCATTTTCACAGGAAATGACATTAATCTAGTTTCTTTTAAGTTTTAGGTCATAATTTGCTGCGGTATTGTTCTAAGTGCAATAAAGCTTGGTGGTTAAATGTATATTAATAAATATAAACTGATTTATTGACTTAGTGAGCAAATATTGTTTAACTTTAGCTTCAATTTAAGTAACTTCAAGTTAGAAGAATTCAGTCATTGTAAAAACTTGAAGTTACACGTTATGTTTCTGAATAAGCATTAACTTCTTTTTATGACAAGTTTTATTGCAGAGGAATTAAAAAAACAGTGAGTTTAGTTCTTAAAACAGTTCTTGGATTATTTATATCCAGCAGTTATAATCTCAGTCTGCTGATTGTATTATGTCGTTCAGATGTGGCGCACGTTCTACTTAATGCTCCACGTGACTTCATTCAAACAAATATTTTACAGTTACATATCACTGCTGACGGTTTGATTTCCTACGAGGTGAACAAAAAGGTTTTGTTACGATTTAATCATGTAAAATAAAAAAATAATCTCAGGCTTTTGCTGCAAACGCAGACAGAAGGAACCAGCTGTTCACTGAATTTAAACATCTTTTTAATTACCTCAGCAACTCCTTCTCTTTTTCCTCTGCTCCACTTTCATCTCCAAGTTCCATCTCCCCTTTCTCCTCCTCCTCCTCCTCCACCACCTCCTCCTTTAGTGGCTTCATCTCTTTGGCTGTTTTGCAGCTGAAGGACTGAGGGCACCCCAGCTCTAAATCCTCCTCCTCTTTTGGTTTCTTTACAGCTACTACTTCCACTTCCTCTTCCTCCACCTCATCCTCTTCTTCCTTCATTTGTTTTTCTTTCTTTAGTCTCCTCGTCGCTCCCTTCCTGAACTGGGTCGCAGAAACAGGAGGTGGGCCCCTCTTTAGGACGGACACCGCCACTGCGTTCTGTCCGTGGGGGGGAGTCAGCACAGGTGGCGTGGCGCTCCCCCCTGAGGAGATGTGTGATTGGTTGGCTGCAGTCAGAGTGGGCAGGGACATGGATAGGTCCTGGACGCCACTCTGTGCAGGATCTGAACAGAGGCTCACACCTCTGGCGTGGGACAACTTTGAGCGTTGCTGGGTGTGGGGGGGCGCCGTGGCTGTGGTCGTGCTCTGTGCGTGCAGATGAGGCATCTGGGTGTAGCGCTCAACGAGGGCGGAGCACACGTCGGGCTGGTGGGAGTGGTGTTTATCCAAGTGACGGCCCAGAGAGCGGAAGTGTCGCCCACAGTGTTGGCAGGTTTGGCGCGTGGACTCGACAGAAGCCCCTCCTCCTTTTGGGACATCAGCGGAGGCATTTCCTGCGACGCTGGGACCCAGAGGGGTCGGAGGTTTGAACTCGGGCTTGGAGGAAGTAGAGGATGAGGAAGACGAGCAGGGAGGAAAGGACTGGGGTGAAGCAAGTGGTCGATTGAGATGAGACACAATGGAGGAGGAGACAGGTGGCGAGCGCCCGGGTGGGGTCCGGTGGGGGGGTTTCTTCTTTAAAGGAGCCCCACGCCGTTTCTTTCGCCGACGTGGGGCACGCCCACGTCGGCTGGAGTTGTCTTCATCTCCAGCATCCGAGTCACTGGCATCAGAGTGGGAGATGGGGGAGGACGAAGGTGAGAGGGACCAGGAGGGGGTGACAAACTCCTGTTGTTGTTGTTGTCGCCGCTGCTGCTGCTGGGACGTCAAAGACAGAGGCTCGTCCTCCTGGAGGGGACAGAAGAATCATGTGTTTTCCTCAGAGTTTTCTTCTCAGCTGCTACCTTCTTCAGGCACCAAACTTATATCAAAGATTTGGTGTTTGTTTTACGTCAGATGTGCCTGATGCAACCTGGGCTCGAACCTGCAGCCTCAGCATTACACATGACCACCGAGCTAATAGTGAAATAATAAAAATTAAACATATTTAGACCAGTGTTGTAGTCAAGACCACCTAACCAGAGACCAAGACCTCAAGTCTTGGAGCTCAATCTTTTCAGATTATCTGTTCACGACATAGTGACAGTTTTAACATGTAAAAAAAAAAAAAAAAAACATATGCAACTTATAAAAATATTTTTTATAAAAGTTACATACTGCAACTTTAAGTTTGCTTTTGAATGAATGTATCAGCTTTTATAAAATTTCAAAGCTACATAAAGAAATCAGACATTCAGTGGTTTTTGCACAATAATTTTCACGTCATGTGACCCACTGACACAAAACTTATGCTAAACTACTTTAACAGACCTGACAGACGAGGCACCCACATTTATTTCTCTTTTTAAAACATTTTTTTAATTTTACATAGTTTCTTTGTTCAAAAATCATGATTTTTGCTCAATAACTAATTAGAAAATGCTTTAAAATGAGAAATAAATGATGGTGTCTTGTGTGTCAGGTCTACGCCTAATGGGCATAATAGACTTGAAACAGAAGACACATCAGAGTCCTGAACAGATACAAAGCATGAGCAGCCACAGGTGGTGATGTCATTTAAAACTCTGACACTATGTGTCATTATTATACAGTAGTCCCTCACAACTTCGTGGTTCGTTTTTCACAGACTATCACAGTTTTTCAAAATAAGATTGGACATGACACACAATTGGCTGACTGAAGGATGAGCCGCATGATCGGCATGGAATTTCTGTTTTTAAAATTATTTTTTTGATTATTTAGCACCTCTGTGCAGCCCACACTGCAGGATAAGCTTCCTGCTGCAGCTGATGTGGGCGTGGCCAAGAACGCTTGCAGGTGGCTGAGAGCAGCGGAGGCAGGGAGCTGAAATCATGACATGCTGTGCTCTTAGAGCGTTTAGAAACATTGTTTACAATATTGCAAGAGAGTGGGAAGGGTTTAAAATAAATATGTATATATAAATAAACTATTACTTACTACTTGTACTACTATTCCTACTTTGCAGTTTTTCACGGGGCTTCAGGGTACGGATCCCCTGCAATAAACGAGGGACTACTGTACACAATAAAAAGATTTTCCAATGAAGGAAGAACTTTAACGTTGTGCTGCTCACCCACTTTGACAGGTGGCTGTTGAGGGTTTCTATTTATTTAACTTAGTGAGGACAGAAAATGTTTTTACGGTCAGCCGCTCAGTTGTTGAACTTGTTACTGGTAGTCGTCTCTAATCGTTTTGAGTTGTTTAATTTGGTCGATTGACAAACATCAGGTTCAGTAAATATTCACAGCCGTTCACCTGGCTCTTTATCTGCTGTTTGAAATGTTTACCAGTCGGTCGGTTAATGTTCCCTTCCGTTGTGTGGTGCTGAGCGCTGCGCACGGAATGACAACTGCACTGAAAGCGACAGAAAACCATAAAGCAGCTGACAAATCCTACACAATGAGCTAAAACACACTTATTTCTTTTCAGTCAATACGTTTAGAAATGATTGCCCTTTAACAGAACTCCTACTGTATAAACAGAGGATTGATAATAACCGTGAGAAAGGTTTATGATATGGTCGGCAGCTTTAATTATTTCATCGTTCTTCCACAGAAATAATGTTTTCATTGTTTTTTCTTGTTGCCAAGGAGGGGAAATATAAATACTACAACTCCCATGGGTCTCGGTCAACACACTGTTGAGGCGGAGGCCATTAAAAGGTGCAACAATAAATGAAATGAGTTCAAAACGCAGGATTTTGAAAGGTGTCTTGACCCTTCAGCTCCTAAAATCTATCAAACCCAAAACATTTAAATGAATTTAGATTTTTGTGGCGATCTCTGAGAGGTTTCCATTTAACCATTAGTAAAGAATTTTTTCATCTCGAGTAGTTTCCTGTCAATCCCAGTGAAAGATCAGCTGAAAGTTACTGTTCCTGATTCAGCACTGCATGATGGTGCAAACGGACTTTATGAAAATAACGTTCTGACACAATGTTCTCATAGAAAATGTTGTTTTGTCCTCTTACCTTTTTGATATTGTCAGAGTCAGAGTTACACTCTTGTTGCGCTGCAGACACGGTGGCACGGAAACCCTGTGGAGCGCAGAAAACTCTGTTACATCAGTAAACGAGCTGCTTGTGGAGATTTGTGTTGCAGCCAGTTCAGCTGCGACTCGAAGCAAGAAACACACCTCCACAGTGGTTCATAAACACAAAACCGACAAATCCGACAAATTAAAATTCAAAACTAAAGAAGTGAAACCAAATCGTCACTTCCTGTGAAAATGCAATATGAACGCTTATTGCTGAATGATTTTTGCTGCAATCTTCTGAAGAAGCCGAAACAGAGCTGAAAATGTTTTGGTTAATGAGCTGAATTTAAACAGCTGTCGTTTGCTGAAAGCAGCAGAAATGTAGCAGAATAAGCTGAAATACAAAAAAAAGCTGCAATTAGCAAAAAAGTAGCTGAAAAGGCTAAAAAAAAAGGCTGAAATTAGAGAAGAGACTGAAAGGAGCATAAAAAGTAGAAATTATTAAAAAGATGCGCAAAACTGCTAAATATTTCTAAAAGTAAAAATAGCACAACTACAAAGAGTCACAGCAGGAATGTCCTGACTGAGCCCAACGTTTTGATGCATGAACGATTTCCGTGTGGAAAAGCGTAGCGAAGTTAACAGTGAGGATGATTTAGAAACATTCTTTAGCCCTACAGACCAGAATCAGACGGACTGAACGGAGCGGCAACAACTCCACTCCGAACCCCGATGTCGGTTTCTCAATTCTGACTATTTAATGTTCTAAAATGGATCATCATTTGGTTGATTAAATTGATCCAATCTAATGGGATCCATTAAACAAACAAACGCCATGTAATAACCATGGTTACTGTTGCTGAAGGCCTCTAGGTAGAGCGGGAGACTGAGCTCAGCCGTCACCATGGTAACCCTATGCCTTACTTAACTTGAGCGTGTGTGCGTGCGTGTGATGGGTAGTGTGTGTGTGTGTGTGCAGACAGTGAGTGAAGCCTATCAGCAGTGTGTAGGTACATAAGGCGCGCAACAAGAACTGAAGACTGAGACCAGCACTTTGTTAAAAAGATTTGTTTCACATCGGAAATGGAGTTTAACTTCAACATAAAATTAAGTTTGGAGAATCAGAGATAAACATTAGTTAAAAACATCAAAACAGTTGCTCAGTTCAAAAGGAGACTTTTTTTTTTTTGACTAAACACACAAAGCCCAGAAGTTGTTGTAAAGACGGCTGACGGGATGTTGACTTAAACTTGCTGGTTGCACCAAACACCGTTTTAAAATTGTCTATTTGTTCTAACATCAGAAAGAAGTTAATGATGTAAAGAACATTGTTCTGGGGTGTGAAGGTCTAACTTATGTTACTGAATGTATCCATCCATCATGATACTGACCAGGTTCTCTCCCCACTCAATCAGGCTGTAATCGACTGTAATTTCCTCTCCTTTGGTGATGTCTCGAATGGCGATTACCACCAAGCGCACCTGGCTCCCGCAGTGGACCTCTCGGATGCGACAGTTAGGGGAGGGAGGGTAGGGCATGGCTGCTGAAGCCGGAGCAGAGGCAGCGGGAGCAGCCGGAGCCGTGGACGCCGGGCTCAGAGAGACGGCCTGAGCTGGGGCTGCGGTGGCCGGAGCCGGAGCGGGTACTGGTGTGGGGGTCCGAACTGAGGAGGCAGCTGGAGACAGAGCCGGTGTGGAGGAGGTCTTGGATAAAGCGGGGACTTTATCCTGAGTCAGCTCTGATGGACCGCTGGAGGGTTGAGAGGGGGAATATGAAGTTATTTGTAGCCCTCGTGAGGAAAACTCGTGTTTTTGGGACTAGAAACACTCTGCATTATTTATTTATTTTTTTATTTTTTTGTCGTTTGGGATCAATTGTAAAATAAGTACTTGATCAAATACTCATTACTACGTTCAATACAACAAAGTCTTATGACAAAAAAATCTGGTTAGTTTCCTAAAAGGTTTTCTGCTTGCTATGATTTTACATCAAAAGAAAAAAAATTGTTGATTTATTTTTAAATTGACCAAATGAGTGTCCAGGCAGATAGACCAACACAAAAAAACATGTTTGCCGAGTGGCCCCATCTCTACCAACTGAGCCACCTGTTTTTATCACGGTACAGTAAATGCAGCGCACAGCTTTGCAGCTAAATGTTCTGGGTTGTTTTGCTACAGAGATCCAGCGCGGTGTTCCTGAAAGCACAAACGTTCTCAGACGTTTGCTCCAAAGCTTCAGCTCATTTTCTATTTGAGTGCATTTTTCTGAGAGCTGATAAACAAGTCAGCTTTAAATGTGGGTAAAATTAAAACTTAAGGCTCGACTGAGCTGCAGTCAGACCAAACAGTCCACACTGCTAAAACAAGATTTACAATAATAATAATAATAATAATAATAATAATAATAATAAACTAAAAGAAGTGTGTGTGTTTGACACTCACCAGCTGCGAGGAGCAGACTCTGTGTTACAGACAGACCGGTCCTGGGTGGACCGTTTATTCTCTGATCCATCCTTTCGATCACCTGAGAGCGCAGAAACAGATTACAGAGCAGGAACACACACATCACAACACAAACACATACGCACAGGTCATCGCCCCATCTCCTGAAGCGCACACACACACAGAAACACAAAAAAACACACACATAAAAGTAGGTCACTCACTCACACACAGGCCACCCACGCAATAATGACAGACAGATGACATGCAAACAACACACACACACACCTGATAGAAGAATACCACATGAAAATATAACACACATAAACACAAACCTGAGCTGAGGTTGTGTTCAGGCACGCCATCTTCCTCTGTGTGTGTGACGAAAACTTTAACGGGTGTCCCTTTTCTCTTCCTTCCACAGCCACGCCTGCAGAACACACACACACAAAATATAAATATATAAAAAAAAGGATTATCATTTAATCAATTTGCCCAGTGGCCAAACTTCGCGAGTCAGGTCAGAGAGGGGATCAATAAGCTGATGGATCAATGCAAACGCTCCCATACAGGCACATGCAGGCAAACAAACAGCAGACAGAAACGTGCAACATGGGACCTGCACAGAAAAAATGCCAGCACGAAGAAAATAAAATGTTCTGCTTTTAAAACTTTGCAGCTAATACCTGAATGGTGGTAAAATGTCAGGACAATGAATGTTTAAACTAGAAACAAATCTGTGTCTTATGCTGCCACCGGATGGCAGCATAAGACTGTTTGAACTGAAGGATGGATAGTGAGGGAGCAAGCAGCGTGTCCCTTCAAGGAAAAATGGGAGGGAGGCCCCTTGACGTGACATGGGCTGTCTCTCTTCGGTTCTCAAAATGGCAGACACTCGTGTGGTTTGAGATCTTTAGCATAGCATTTTTCACACAAAGATTTTAATAATAATTTTTTTTTAAATCAGTAAACAAGTTCTCGGCTTCTTTTTGCAGAGAAAAACAACTTTTTACACAATGGCACGGGTTTCAACCGTGAATTTTGAGGCTTCAACAAGACGGAGGTTTTTTCCCCGAGGTCAGCCTGTTAGCTTAGCTCGTAGCTTAGCTTCTCAGCTTAGTTGCTTTTAACGATCCAAAAACGCAATTTTGGATCGTTTGAACGATTTTAAAGAGAAGAGAGAAAGGGAGGGGTCAGTGAAGAGCACCGGAGTTGAACCTTTTATCATCCAGTGTCTTCAGTAGAGAGAGACACGAAGAAACGATAAAGCAAATAAATGAAAATGAGGTTGATAATTTTCATTTATTATGCAATCATTGATTTATTGTTTAATTTATCATGCAATTATTGATTTATTGTTTATCGCGACAGGCACAGAAGCAGGAGCAAGCAGGAGGACAACTCGCTGTGCATTTCTTGAAATTTAACAAAATAAGCACCTAAAAACAATTATTTGCTTGCTCGACGTTTGTGTCTCACTTGAACTTTTACTTAATAAATGCACTTTAATGGTCAAATCAGCTGCATTTTGTTGGGGCGGCGCAGCGAAATGAAGCCGATTTGATGGATGCTCCAGACATAATCTCGCAGCTGGATGAAGGTGGCAGTCTATGGCAAGCTGATTGTGTCATTAATAGCCACTTTTTACCTATTACATGACACAACGGCATGCCATACTACTCAAGTGCCATCTAGTGGCTGAAAATGGTAGTGTTCAATATTTTCAGTCAAAATGAATGAAAACGGTCGTATCTCAGCCAAAATTGGTTTATAAATATGGGAAAAAAAATCCATAAATAAGTCGCTTCCGCATACAAGTCGCAGGGCATGCAAATTATGCAAAAAACTGACTTGTAGGCCAGAAAATACAGTAATATTTTTCCCCTTTTTACACATGACAATGCACCGTATGTTCAGGTTTTTAAAGCTGCAAGTCTTTTTTTTTTTTTTCTCCACATCACCAATAAAAGCTACAAATTTCCATGAGCAACAAACATTGTTGGAGCTCCGGACCAAATGGGAAATAAAGCTAGCAGACACTAAATACAACGTTTGAGTGATTAACGGGTTTAAATGTTTAAATCTCTGCTGTGAATTAAAACATTTAGTGTGGGATGTATGTTTTATTACAGCTTGAGAAAAAAAAAGTGACATCTGTTTTGTTTTTTTCCAAGAATAAATTTGCTTCAAGGCAAAAAATATCAACAATCAATAAGTAATAGACTACTGGTCACCTTGTTGCTCGTGTACAGCATCAGTATGTTGTGTGTTCAATAAACACACAGCAAACGGTGCAATGAGACAAAACTTCACAGCCCAACTTAACACGCCAATGAAGATGTAATTTCTGAGTGACATCAGCAGCAGTACGATTCTGCAGCCCGTCTGTGTTTTATCTTTGAGCAGGATGACTTCTGACCATGCAGAGCTTGAACGCAGCCACTTGTCTGAAGTCAGATTATCTTCTCCAGACTAAATCCATGCCAAAACAGCCACACTCAGATGGGCCAAACAGCCGAATCTAGGCTCATTCTGCTACCGCGGACCTCTGCATTTTTCCCCATCGATGTAGTTTCATCTACACGATAGTCTGATGAAACTAGGCCAGAGGAAGATCATGCTTTGGATTGTGTGGCGATTTGTTGCTGTATGCGAAAGAATGTGAATTTGTGAGTTTTGGCATAAAACTAGAGTAAATAACAGTAACAGAAGAGAAAGATAAACAAGTATCAGGACAGGAAAGTAAGACGGCAGAGTTGAAGATGGAGAAAACTCTCAAAGAGAGGGAGACATCAAACAAACTGTCTTTCATCTAGACTCAACGCTGTGTATAAGTCTGTGTGCGTTTAACCTTTAATTTAGCTCTCTTATCTGTCCTTATTTTCCTCCGTGTAAAGATTTTTGTGCAACAAATACACAAGTCCTGCCTAAAAAATGATGACTGTCAACAAGCCACCAGAGAAGTTTTCATCTCTGTATTAATGAGGTATTCTGCAGAGCTGATGATTGTACTACTCCACTTATCACTAGAGGCCGACCAATATATCAGTAGGGCGGATAATTTAGGATGATAGACGTGTGGGGACCTATCGGTATTGGTGATAATTGTCCCATTAAGTGCCGATATAAGCACTTCTAATTTTCACCCCTAAAATGCTGGAAATGAGCCATAATTGTACAGTGTATCCAGCAGAGGGCGCATGAAGACTACTTTCAAGTCACTGCCACTCATTTCAGTTTCAGTTTCACATTCAGCAGAGAAGAAGCAGCGAGCAATACTGTGTAGCGTATTTTACTGCACGGAGCATGGTAAGTTACTTGTATCTGTAAAACAAATCATCAATAATAGATTCTCTTCGATCCTCCAACCTGCTTGTCATTATCTACTGTATGCGTCTCTTAAGTTAGCAAGCTAACGTTTAGGTAACCTAGCATAAGCTATTGCATTGTAAAACTTTAGCCAGAACAATAAATCTAGCGTAGCGGTAAATACATATCAGCGTGTTAGTAACGTTATCTTTGTCCTCCTCAATGAAATCTTTACTTCTCTGCAAAGAACAAAACCTCAGCTGTGTTCAATTCTAATAAGGCCTTCACCATATGTAACTCACCGTTTAAAGAGTGAACAGGGAAGGGTGTTTTTGTTTAATTTATATTTGTGTAACACTCTTGATAACTTTATGGTGATTAGTGGAGGATAGAAAATGTGAACGCACGTTAGGAAGACTGGTTTTATGACCAGTGCACCACTTGTAATCTTAGAGTAGGTCTAGGTATAGGTGGATCCGATTAGCTTAGCTTCATGGTTGCTAACAGCTGCACTAAATAACAAGCCCTGCTCCACTCGATGTTTTCTTAGATTCTAGGGGGTGGACAAAGCTCAAAAATTTTCAGCCATTATTCAATTCATCCATCCATCCATCCATTATCTTTACCCGTTTATTCCATTTTGGGTCACGGGGGTCGCTGGTGCCCATGTCCAGCAATCACTGTGCGAGGGGCGGGGTACACCCTGGACGGGTCGCAAGTCCATCACAGGGCCACATAGAGACAAACGACACAAACAACCATTCACTCTCTCACTCACACCTAGGGAAAATTTAGAGTTACCAATCAGCCTAACATGCATGTTTTTGGTTTGTGGGAGGAAACCGGAGCACCCGGAGAAAACCCACGCATGCACGTAGAGAACATGCAAACTCCACCCAGAAAGGCCCCTGGACCGGGGTTTGAACCAGGGACCTGCTCGCTGAGAGGCAGCAGCTCTACCAGTTGCGCCACCGTGCTGCCCACTTATTCAATTCAAAGTTTATTTATATAACACATTTAAAAATAACCACAGCTGACTAAAGTGCTTCACAAGAATACAACGTTGTTGATAAAATATGATAAAATATGATAAACAAATTAAAATTGAGTTTAATAAAAATAAAAGTATGATAAAATTTGCAGTAAAATACCAATAAAACAATAGTACTAATAAAAACCAAGACAGTTATTGCATATTTGCTGCAATTTCCCCAAAACTTGAGTCAATCAAGTACTAATTTGAGTGAAGTCCAGGGAGAACAGATGTGTTTTCATCTGGACTTAAACTGATCTACTGAGTGAGAGAGCTTCACAGACAGAGAGAGGCTGGTCCACAGTCTGGGTGCTGCCACAGAGAAGGCTCTGTCACCTCTAGTCTTCAACCTCGCTTTAAGGACAGTCAACAAGAGCTGGTCGGCTGACCTCAGGGCTCTGGATGGAGTGTAGGGCTGCAGCAGCTCGCTTAGGTAAGATGGAGTTTAAACACAAAAACAATCAATAAAACTTCGAATTTCACCTGAAAAGCAACAGGGAGCCAGTGAAGGGAGTGTAAAACGGGGGCAATAGATTTACGCCTCCATGTGTTTGTCAACAGACGGGCTGCAGCGTTTTGGACGCTCTGCAATCGCTCCATTATATCTGTCATAATATCTACCTTCCCCTCCCAATATCAATATCGGCGATAAGTCAAAATTTCCATTTTGGTTGGGCTCTACTTATCACAACAATCCAAAAAGTCACGTGGTTTTTGTACATCTACTTTCATTATAAAACTGATAAGATGCTGCACTAACCAGCCAAGACCACTCATATTCTCATCTTTAGTTTAATATTATATGTAGAAAAATCAGATTTATTTATGTGTGCACTTAAAGTAGAGTCACTGAAATCGGGACAAAAATATTTCTAGAAGTGAAGCTTAATAAAACTCAAAAATTACATTTAAAGCTATTCAGCGTGCTACATGTGAGAGATCTGAACACAGTACTTCATAAAATAACTCACCTCAGTCCATGTAGTTGCCTTCTGCATAACATTTAGCCATGCTTCAATATTTTAGCTGGAGTGTGCATAAATAAACTAAAAACTAAGACACTGTGCATAATTTGTTTTGTAAAGTCT